CTCTCGAAAAAAAGTTCAATTAAATTATAATAAACAAGGAAATATGTAAATGTTGATTATAGATGATAATTCCTTTTTCTTTTAATGTCTAAAGCATAATGAATCTTTTTAAAAATATAATAAATAATATAATCAATGTGAGAATCCTTTCAGATTTATTCATGATTAATTTCATTATTCACTGTCTTTAGCAGAAATTTTTCTTAAAAAAAAGTGATGTTTACAGAAAGAGAACGGAATGACATTTTTTTTTTAAAATATATCTACGAGACGTATTTTACGGAGAATTATTTTTCTTCCTATATAAAAATGAAATAAAACAATGATACTATCATTTATTAGAAATGTCAAGCGTAGATACAGTCGATCTTGTTACACGTTGGTTTAATTATACACTTTCTATACCAATGATTATATTGGGTATCTTTGGAGCTATTCTAACTGTTTTAGTTTTTACAAAACAGCGTAGATTTTGGCGTAATCCATGTATTAATTATCTTCTGGCTGGTGCAGTAATGACTGGTATACATTTACCGGCAATTTATCTTCAAAGTATTCTTGTCAATGGTTTTCGTTTGGGTCTTTTCAATACAGATGATATTGCTTGTCGTGAACATAATTATCTACTCTATATGACAACTGTTGCTGCTATTTCATTTCCATGTTGGGCAGCTTTCGATCAATATGCTAGTACATGTCGTAATGCCAATTTTCGACATCGATGGAATTCAATTCGACTTGTTCGATTAACCATTATCGGTACAATTGTCTTTTGGTCTCTCGTATATATTCCAATTATTTTCGTTAGTGGTATCGTTAACGGTATTTGTATGTTGCGTCCAAGTTCTTACACGACCTTTAACACCTACGTAATGACACCGTTCGTCTACAGTATTGGTCCAATTCTTGTAATAACTATTTTCACAATGGGTACAGTCAAAAATCTTCGTGGTGCTACTATTAATAGACCTCGAGGACGGTTAGCTGAACAAGTTCGTCATATGTTAGTTCCTCAATTACTTGTACTTGTTGTTTCAGGTGTTCCATTTGGTTTTCAAGGTATATATATGGATTTAACTAGTAACATTCCCAAAGATACTTTTCGTTTGAGTATCGAAAATGTTTTTTCTCAATTTATTCTTTTATTATATCATTGTAATTACGTGTGTACATTTTATATCTATTGGTATATGTCCAGTGAAGTGAGAAAAGCTGTAAAACGACTCTTTTACAAGTATTGTATAAGAAACAGTATTATACCTATTGATGCTACTACCAATAATACAGTTACTCTTCGAACAATTAACGGTGAAAATCAGTCATCCGAACTTTTATAAAAAATTCCTATACGAAATATATTTATAATATTGGTAGAAAGAAAAAAAACTGAAAAATATTCTATTCTTTTTATTTTTCATAATTCTCTCTCTCTTAATATACTTTTTTTTTCAATGTTGTCATCTAAATGTCTAATAAAAATTAATATTATCATTCTTATTTCGTTCATATTATCACCTTTCTAAACATTTTTGTCCATATTTGATTACTCTCTCTTTCTATATATATATATATATATATGATTATTCATTTCTATCATTATCGATTCATTTTATTGCTTTTTCTTTTTGTCTATCTATCATTTATATACGTAGATATTAAAATGTGTATTTAGATGAATAAAATAATAATGTAGTGTGAAGATATTTGAAATAAATTTAACATTCTCATATTATCATTATTATTAGAGTCAAGTTTGCTAAAAATTTATTTTTGACAGTGATTCTGTATATTGATAAAAACACTGCTTCTGTAGTATATTCGAATGAGTTTGTGCCATCAGCGACATAATGCATAAAAAAGATAATTTAAAAAGTCTGCTATCGCATTAGTTTCATATATCCTGTAGAGTTCTTATATTAGTTAAAATTTTCTAGTTAAATTTCATATGAATTAATTAATAGAATAATTATTTAAATAAATTATTTTAATATAATCTCAACATTAAAATACATGTAACATGTGTTTAACTAAGTATAATTTAATATGAAATAAAAAAAATGAAAAACGTTCTCAACTAAATATTTATTATGCGAAAAGTGAAAAATATCGAATTTTTTATATGTTTAATATTAGTTCAAATTTAAATTGTCATATACGAAACGAAAGTATCAGAAAAAACAAAATGTTTTCAGATATGTTTAAATTAATAAAATGCTTTTAAAATAATTTCTTTAGAAAAATAAACAAATAAAATAATAAATCAATTGTAAAAAACATAGTCGTTTATCATAATATTTACATGTAGTATCAAAATCGAAGTACAATTAACTTCTTTCATAAATTGATTAATTTCTTAAAAATTTCGAATTCATTTTTTTTAAAATAAATAAAATTAAAATATTGATCGAGTTTATATTTTCATAAGAAAATAATCTATACTAATGACGACGAAGTTTCTATTCGACAGAAATCATTATCTTATGTTGCGACACTCATATAGTGAACATTTTCCAAAATTTCTCATTCAAAAACAAAATCTATCGAACTATAAATGTAAATTAATATAATTGTGATACGTAAAATATTTCTTAATTTATGTTAATCTTAAACTGATTCAAATATAATATTATGATAGAGATATCATGAAATCTAGATTTCTAAAAATGAAAAACCACCTTACACAACTCAAACAGAAAAATATCAGGCGTCATTTCTGGCACACTTGCCACCTCACCACGTCATTCTTGTA